CTAAAGTTTCGATCTTTCTCTCTCTATTTGCATTTTGCATTATTTGTTTTCATTTGCTTAGCATTTCGAGCAATCAATCCCTTCAAGCGAGTAATGTGTAGGACCCTATTTTCGGTTATGTGACTTTGACGAATAGATAGTGAACGAAGTTTCGAACAACCTTTCTTTGAGAACGACCCGAGTCGAGCAGTTCAGTTACTACATGCCCAAAAATATTTACAACAATGCGCAGAGGAGGCGAAGATTTTTTTTATTAATGAATTTTGACTGTGAGCAGAGAGATATTTTTATATATATATATATACCTTGACATAAAAAAGAAATATCGCGTGCTCCTAACCCAAAAGTAGACCTGGCCAAAATCGATTCCGAACATTCTTCCTAGGGTTGTTCTAGGCCGGTGCGGTGAACACACGGTTCCAGGTCGGCTCGGTTTATTAAAAAAAAAGGGTCGAACCATATGTTACAATTTCAATTCGGAATTGACTGACGGATCAAAGTACATACATGTATCCTGAAACCGAACTGGGTCAAACTACGGACTCGATTTAAAGCTCGACCACAGGCTGATTTTGAGCCGGTTCAGGTGAACCAACAAGTCAACTCGGCCACAGTCATGTCTACCTCGACTTGAAAGGGTCACTAGGCTCAGTGGCACAATGGTGAATTCAGCAAACCACAACCCTAAGAAAGCACTCAAAAACAAACAGAAAAAAAATAGCTGTAATCCACTAAGAAGAAAAGTCAGAAACGTTATCCCAACGCTCCACACACGTTACTCGCCACAACTATTTGATCATATCCATTCGTGTCCTCCACGCGCATCTCCCGAGCGTCCAACAATGAAACATAATGCATAGGTATCCTTCCTTCACCAACCATGGGATGGCATGATATGCATGAAATCAATGTATGACCCCCCCTCGATGTCATGCACATCGCCAGCTCATCACAAATTACCTTTTTACCCCTCCAAAAATAACTAAATGGGTAAAAAAATCTCCCACTAAATTAAAGGAAAAAAACTACGGTTCCGTTATGGAATCATTCCGTTATAAATTGTAACCGTTAGATCATCATAATTGTCGAGAATAGTTGATCTAACGGTGATAAAAATCGACGGAATAGTTCCGGGACCGTAGCTTCTCCCTAAATTAAATTCTCTATATAGCTGTATATCATTTTGACCACATAGGAAATAGCGAAATTTTGCAGAGGAANNAAAAAAAAAAAAAAAAAAGGATTAATTTGAGAAAAAACAGCAGACAAAAAGCCAAGACAAATACAGACGCGCAGCGAGTGAGAAAAGGACTCGAGAGAGAGAGGGCCATCGAAATACAAAAAAGAAAGGTAAGCAAGAGCTTGTGTATGTATGTATGTATGTATGTATATCCATACGTATATGTACGCTATTAATTGTTTATTTGATTTGTTTCAGATTTTTTTGATGTAAGTCACGAGTTTTTTTTTTTTTTTTTTTT